GTTGCAGACTACACCTTTTGCTAATAATTCCCAAATGTGACTGTGTGTGTGTGTGGGGGGGGGAGATAGAAAAAAAAAAGCCAAGGATACTTTCTGTTAAAAATGTAGACATTAAAGAGTTCTCTAGTAGCCTGTAAATCAGAAACTATTCTATGGTGGGTATTTTTAAGCTCCCTTTATTCCTATTTAAAGCTGTCTCTCCATGCTTCCCTTACTATTATTTTATTTTTTTAAAAAAATCCAATCTATTTTCCAACACACCAGGGCTATTCCTAATTTCAGAATAACACCCTGAGGAAATTGGTCCCACAATTATCTACTGCAGAAATACAGATCTCAGCTGCCCAATTTGCTGGAAAAAAGGCAACATAAATTAGGAATTCCAGCAGATTTTAAGAAAGGCTGCTGGAGTAAAAAAACGACCTGCTGGTTGTGTTAAAGGGCAGGTGGGAAGCAGAAGCATCTGACTCAGAACTGTAACTGCATGTTTCACTCTTCCAGCTGGAAAGCAGGACAGAGGCTCTTCGCTCAGTACAGAGATGCCTGCTGGATTCCTGCCTTTAGATCAGCACGAGGGTCACCACAAGACCCTATGAGACTGATTGCTGAAGCAATCTATTGCTCTACTTTAGGAAGCCTTAAAGATAGCTAGAAAGTGACGGTCATCTTCCTAATCCTCTTTCTGTGACGGTTCTCACTCTCTCGGGTCAAATAGGAGAAAGGTATCCATCAGGCTTCACGAATTCCTCTCGTTCTGCTACGAAGTCGGACGCTGGTGGCTTAGGGTCCTGCATCAGCACCATGGACAACTCCAAGCTTGCAGCGCGATTATCCAAAGCGCTCCTTCCCGGCTATTGAACCTGAACGCGAGCGCCAGCCCGCCCAGGAGCGAATCTCTCCTTCGTGCATTTCGCAGCGTCACAACGGGACTCCAATCCAAAGGAACGACAACGGTTGCAAAAGCAACGAGCAAAAAATTATGCCAGAATGACACGAACTGCAAAGGATGTCCTGGGGGGCGTGTGATTGCGCATACATGAGAATTAAAGGAAGGAGGTGGGCTCTTGCACCAACTACCCATATTATCTATTTCCTTCCATGATATTGCTATCTGGAGGTGGACTGTTTGTTGCTTTCAAAGAGCCTTTTTGATTATGCTTGTGAAAGCTCTTCTTTTAGTAATAATAATAATAACAATAATAATAATAGCTGCTGAAAGTCCTCAAATACAGGGCAGTGAAACAAAGAGAATGGGCTTGGCAGTTCTCTCATGCATCCATTTGTTTTGGGGCTCTCTCCTCCCTTTGCTTTATTGTCTCTTTCTTAAAGTCTCAACCAGTCAACGTTTCCTCAGCACCCAGTTACTAAATATTCATGCATCTACAGAATCTAGCTTCATGATCTCATTCCTCAATCTCTCTCTTTCTCACTCACTCTCACACACGCACACACAGAGGTGGGCAACTGAATATGTATGCCTTTCAACTAGCAAGAGAATCTGCTGAAATATACAACACCACACTGATTTGAATTTAAAGAAGCTTAGGAGTCTGTGCTTTTATCTAGAGAGTCATAGATCTTTCCTCCTTTCCTTTCCTTTCCTTTCCTTTCCTTTCCTTTCCTTTCCTTTCCTTTCCTTTCCTTTCCTTTCCTTTCCTTTCCTTTCTTTCTCTCTCCCTCTGCCTCCCTAACACCCTTTCACTATTCTGGAATGTAACTATAGCTTCTCCAATCATTCCTATTCCCAGAGCTCTTCTATAGGCTTTTTGCTCATTACCGCTAAAAATGAATCTAGCTAGTTGCAAAATACATTTTGCTATTTTGAAACAAAAGAGATTGTCTCTTCAGGTTCCCCTTCCCTCCGAAAAAACAAGATTGTATATAAAGCTCACATCTGGGAATTATTATTATTATTATTATAAAAAGTGAGGGGGACAGTAAGTCCACTTCAAAGCACCAGCTCCGTCTCTGTCATAAATTCACCAGGTGCTATATTTTAACATGGCACATTGAGGACTCTTCAGTCTGTTATGATAAAAAAATAACATGGGAATGAAAAAGTATGTATGCAAAAACCCAAATATTTCATCCTTCATCCCAACTGGACCAGAAATATTTAGAATTCTTTTTTTAATGATTGTGACTAAATATAGGAGGATCCACTTCATGTCTCGGCTTAAGTTGCATGGTTGCAATTCTTACAATCAATTTTTTACTGTACTTACAAAAAAGCAACTCTATTTACTTCTAAATATAGAGCTACTTTGGTGCAATGATTTAAGGCATCAGGCTAAAAGGAGTTCTAGAATTTGCCTTAAGCACAAAGCCAAGTGGATGACCTTTGGCCAGTCACTCTCTCTCAGCCCTAGGAAGCAGACAATGACAAACCACTTCTGAAAAACCTTGCCAAGAAAACTACAGGAACTAGTCCATGCAGTTCCCAGGTGTCAAAAGTGGGCACACACGTTTATCTCTCTAATCAACATATGTCTAATATCACAACAGATGTTATATGTCTCTTATTCCTTGTACAATGTTGAACTATTCACTAAGGAATCAAATTATGTCCTACATATACTTTATTATTTTCACATTCAGCAATCATCCTTCAACTTCAAACGTACTTGAAAAATTCAACAATTCAGTCTATTCATGTTATCCTAAGGTTTTTTCCCCTAAATCAACATGTGTACAGTACAATAAACTTTTTAACATGCTTACATTTCTCAGTGTATTGAATGATTGGTTGCTTAGGCTTATAGGCCGCCTTAATCAATGAGCTACTGAAGAATAACAATTTGGCCTGCACAAGTCATGAAAGTCACCTAGATAACCTTGGGTCAGCCATATATTTTTAGTCCAACTCTCCTCACAGGGTTGTTGTTGTGGGGAAAATAGGAGAAGGAAGAAATATTAGGCAAGTTCCTCACCTTGAGTTATTTATAAAAATAAAGGTGGGATAAAATTAAATTAAATTAAATTAAAGCAACATCTGCCTATAAAACCACACTGTACTTGCTATTTTTTTTTCTCATTGTCATCTCTTGCACCCTTCCAATCCAATCTGAACTTGGTCAACAACTTTCCACACTTACACTAACTCCTGTATAGTTTTTGCAATCATTGCTGCTATGTTTGCCTTTCTGTAACAGAACAATAAAGGACTACATCCAATCATCAACTACACATGAAATATTCACGTAATTTGCAACTTGCCAAGCCACTACTCCATAAGTAAATTACAACCATGCTTCAAGATTTCTCTAATTATATCATTATATAATTATACCGCAGCCTTTTGGGTTTTTTTTTTAAAAAAAACATTGTCACAGAATCATGTTCTATGAGATGGGCAACTATAAAAAATATATGAAGAAATATGAGGAATACATTTCATTTTCTGTTTTTCTTCTGTTTAACAATAACATAATAGCATTCATTTCAATTCCACTTGAGGTAACTTGAGTCTGAAATTACGGAATTACAGCTCCTAATATCCCTCAGTACAGTAGTGGCATAGTAGTGGCATTCATGTGTCTTCTACATCAGGGGTCCTCAACCCCCTGGTCCTTAGCCTGTTAAGAACTGGTCCGTGCAAGTGAAAAATAAGCTTCATCTGTGCGTATGTGGGATTTAAGTAGAGTGTGAAACCATCCTCCCTACCCATCTACCCTGGTCCATTGAAAAATTGTCTTCCACAGAACTGGTCCCTGGATGCCCAAAAGGTTGGGGATTGCTGTTCTACACTTCAGGATATTCACTAAGTGCTGCCTTAGTGGGGAGAGATAAGAACACAAGAGGCCCAACTTTAAATTTCTTGGTCAAGCCTTCTTGGGCAGGCAAAATCAAGCTTTTATTCTCCATCATGATTTCACTCCCCTTCCTCTCCCCAGTGACTTCTCCCCCCCCCCCCCCCCCCCCCCCCCCCCAGTTTAACAGGCCAAGGTTTTCCTCATTCTCCCTTCTTAAGAAGAGCTGGGCTTCTTCTGCGCTGGAAAAGATCATTGAACCGAATTGACTCTGAACAGAATTGGTGCCCATTGGGCTCCTCTCTGAGGGTTGAGGCTAACTAAGCCTCAGGATAAAACTCCAGATGAGAGGGAGGGAGGGAGAGAGAGAGAGAGAGAGAAAATGAGAGAGAGAGAGAGATTGAGAGAAAGAATAAGAGACAGAGAAAGAGAGAGAGAGAGAATGAGAGAAAGAATGAGAGAGAGAGAGAGAGAGAGAGAGAATCACAAAACCAATACTCGACGGCCTTTTCTTAATTCACTTCACCGGCGGAGGCACGCCCGTTTTGCCAAGGCTGGGCGGCTGCCTTGGGTTTTTTTCCTGGGCTCATCTTCTCAGAGCTGGGAAATAACAAAATAACAATAATAATAATAATAATTAAAAAGGCGCGAACAAGCATTTGCCTACGCCCGCAGCCGCCACCCCGGCCTTTGGCCGCGTGGCTCCCCCGACGAAGCGACCTATGTTAGTTTGGCACTTTTTGCTCCTCCCCTCCTCACTCGGCTTTCGCCTCGTCGTCGCCGGCGTCCTCGGGATGCGGCCGCGCGCAGCAGGATCGTAGCTCCTCGCTGCCGCCGGAGCTGCTCCATCGCCGGCTCCGGGAGGGTTGTGGTGGTGGAGGAGGAGGAGGAGGGGAAGATTTACGGGCGGGCTGATTTGCCGCCGAGCCACGCTTGAGTAACCCGAGCTGCCGTAACCGCGCGGGAGGGACGTCACTCCCTCTAGCTAGCGGAGCAGCCCGGCAGCGCCTCTGCCTTCCCGCCTCGGCGCCCGGCCATCGCTCGCGCCTGGAGTGGAGCGGGGGGGGAGGGGGGAAGAACTGGGCGAGGTCTTGCCTTCCGCGCGAGGAGAAGCGGAGGCGCGGCAAGCACCTCACCTCAGGCGGATTCCTCAGCCACGTTCCCCCCCCACCCCCGCCGCCGCCTCCTCGGGTCACCGTTTTTTTTTTGTCCCCCCCCCCCCTCCCTCTGGGGGGGGGGGGGGGGGGGAGGGGGGCAAGGTGAAAGTGAGCGGGTCAGGTTGGCCCCGATGCAGAACCTGAGCATGGAGCAGGCAGCGGGAGGAGGGCGGGAGGCTGCCTGTGTTCGGCGGCGCTGCTACTAGGATCGGAAGCGAGCCTTGCCCGGCGGCCCCCCGATGAGATGAGATCTCGCAAAGGGTAGCCCGGAGGGAGAGCGAGAGCCAGCAAGAGGACCGAAGAGCCGGAGCCGAAGCCGGCAAAGCTTCGAGGAAGGAGGCATCGCGCCCCGGGGAGGTGGAGATCGTGCAATATGCCAGTTCGCAGAGGTCACGTGGCGCCACAAAACACCTTTTTGGGGACCATCATCCGGAAATTCGAAGGGCAGAGTAAGTTCGCGCCCTGGGAGTGTTTGGGGAGGAAGGGGCTGGTGGGCGTCGGGGAAGGAAGGGACGGAAGACGAGTTTAAACTCAAAAGCGATCGGGCTTGTTTCTGGCATCCCTGGGTGGCTGAGTCCTATCCAAGACGGCGATCGGGGTAGTTTTCCTTCCCGCCCTCGCTTTGACACTTGGTTGGCAAATTGTTCTCTTTCCTTCTTTGGCACAAACGGGCCAAGACGAAAGGCAAATGTCTGTTTATGCATCTTCCCCCCATCTTTTTGTTTTGGGGGGGGGGAAGCTTTGGATGGCCTACCTAAAGTCCTGGAAGGGCAGCCAGAAAGTTGTGTGTCTGTTTTCTGCCTGGAAGTTGAAACTTTGACCTTTGGTTGCCCGAAAGATATTTGTTTGACTTGACTTTGTGAAAAAGTTTCTTGCGGGCCCTTTCTAAACTGGGCTGCTGACTAGGATGAATTAGGATTTTTCTGGGGGAGCTGTAAAATCCAGTAGTCTGACAAAATCGGATGGTTAAAGCCCTGAGGGATAATAAAGACTCAAAATTTTACCTTAGGGGTAACCTTTTGTGAGCTGTCATAATGAAACATTAAAATTGTTGTATAAAACTGCAATAAATGATGAGTCCCTTTGGAAAGTTGTCTAACAATGAGTATTAAAGTATGGTGGCTTGCATGAGCTTTCATTTTAAGCATTTCAAGAACATTTGTTCTGAAAATAGGGTTAGAGCTGCAAGGTGCAATGCTGTAAGTGTTTCTGTAATCGTAAGGATTTACTTTTAGATAAGTGTGTATAGGATTACAAATTCAGTCTTTCAATTATGTGGTCACCTAGTCTGTCTCAATTCCGAAAAATGGAAAAGTATCTCATTGGAATGCAACGAGATAATAAATTCTAGATACGTTGAAACTAGCCTAGGAAGAATATAGGTAGATTGCTAACAATTCTATAATGATGCCATGGATATCAAACTAACAGATTCCTACCCTGTAAAAGTCAGATAGTGCAACTTTTCTTGATGGAAGGAAGCTACTAAAGTTAGCGGACTTAATTATCTCTCTGTACGGAAGTACATCACAAGGCCATTGAGCGACAAACATTATGGCTGCTGCAAAGAGAACTTGTCAGTAATCAGGGACTTTTCTTTGGAAGATGACATGCATGAGAAATATTTCACAAAATGTGTGAATGAGGTTGAGAGAAATCAAAACGGATGCGCACTGCCTTGCAGACTTCTCGCTGTGTCTTCAAGTGTAAATATGTTTAGCCTTTGGATAGCTCATGTGCACTTCTGCCGCGGGAGAGCTCTGATGAAGCTCGGAAAAGAAGTGAGGCAAATATCTTGTGCCTTGATCCTTAATGTTGTGACAGATGTGGCTTCAAGGTTGTGCCTGTCATTGAAAACAACAGGCTCAGCAAAACTGAGCGGGCAGTGCAGATTCTGTAGAGAGAGAATACACGGGTGAGTAAAAGTTCAAGTAAAATGCTCTGTTAGAGTACATGAATATCTTTAAGCTGTAAATTAATAATTGAGGCTATAAGTTGCTCCCTCCTACTCTCCTATAATCACCTAATGTTTTTGCAATTCTGTTGGATTACTTCTGCATAGGAGAATGAAAATTGGCCCAGTCAAAGTATCTTGCTTTATACAGTCAGGATTAGATGTGTTGTATAATTAAATTCTTTCACTTGGATTTTGTGAAAACAGGAATCCCACAGTCGTGTTTAGAGGATCATCTTACAGGGCGGTCGAGAGCGTTCAAATCAACCTGCGCTTGCAAAAGAGTGCTGGAGTGCCTCTAGGTAGCCCTCCGCCCCCCCCCCCCAATTGTTTTCCTTCTCACTGTACAGTGCCCTAGATTAACCTCTGCTCTCAGATTTCTCTCTGCTTAGCACCTCAGGTAGGGCAAATACAAAAAGGCGTTCCTGTGCCAAATAAGTTTCATATTCAGAACATCTAGGTTGCATGCAAAGGTTCTCTATCTATGGCATCTCCTGTTAAAATGACCAAGTAATAAATGGATAGGAAATATCCATGTTAAAGACCTTAGAAAATAGATGGGCTACATATTTAGACAAGGGCTAGAAAGGTGCCAGGAGCTGGATTTCCCAAATTAGGTAGGAGGACAAAAAAAAGAAACAAGGGGGCTCAGTGGACCACACTGAATTTTCATTTCATTTCACCACAGGCTAATAAAGGCAGCTTGGTTTTGCTGTACAATCTCATCATTTCCCCTCCTTCTGTTACATTAAGGACTATAATGCTGCAGTGTCCTTCTGACGGGCTCAAGTCATGTGTATGCCCTGGAGAGATCTGGGGCTAGATGGCCAACAAATCCTACAAATATAACTCATCTTTTAATGAGTAAAACTCCTGTTTTAGAGAACCTTTTAATAAGCAGGATACGTGCTAGCCTTTTTCATTCAAATAGGGTTCTTCAAATATTTAACAAAACTAACATCTACCGTGGTGGTGGGAAAGCTAGTTTTATCATCTATTAAATACATTTGTAGAATTGTTTGCAAGCCCAGTGATATTATCTTAACTTTCCTCTGGTTTGCCCCCCCCCCCCCCGTTCCAACCAGTCCAAAAGCCTATTACAAAGCTTTCGTTAGAGTTCAGGCCCCAAGAAATGAAGCCTCTTTCAGTAGCTTGGCCAAGCAGTTCTCAGCACCAAGAAAAAAGCTTTTTTTTCAATAGAACAATAAGCCAGTATTAAGCTTTTCGCCCAGACTAAGCTTTGCAAGTGGCTTCCTAGAGTGGATTTCCCTCTCCCACGAAGTCAGCTGATTTTGAGTTTTAATTCTTCTGCATTCCATTGTGTCATTTTTAAAGAGCTTTGGTACACAAGAGTGGTATTAGGCCTCTACTAAAGCTCAACGTGTGTAGAAATTCGATGCAGGGACAGCCCTTCTCTAGACAGACACTTGAGGCTTTTGAGACATCACAAGAGTCTTGAAAAAAATGTCTTCTTGTTTTATTGCAGATAAAAAATTCATCATTGCTAATGCCAGAGTGCAGAATTGTGCGATCATCTACTGCAATGATGGCTTCTGCGAGATGACGGGGTTCTCCCGGCCAGATGTCATGCAAAAACCCTGCACCTGTGACTTTCTTCATGGACCAGAAACCAAAAGGCACCACATTGCCCAAATTGCCCAAGCGTTGCTTGGATCGGAGGAGAGAAAACTGGAGGTTACCTATTATCGTAAAGATGGTAAAGTAGTTTCCTTTCTTGCGTTTCTTTCAAAAGTTTGGAAAGCCAGCTTCCCATGATGGTTGAGATGCTCATTGGCTCTTGTGAACGCCTATGAAATGTGTGGTGCTTTTTTTTCCCCTGGACATCCTGAACGTGTCTTTTATTGATGTATCAAAAGAATGCCAGTCCACCCATTCTAGGAAATTAAGAGAGGACACAAGGGACTGTTATCCTGAGTTACAAATTAGAGCCATGTTTCTCAGCCTTCGCAACTTGAAGATGCATGCTGGTTGTGGTGTTCCTGGAATGGAAGACGACACATCTTCAAGTTATCAAGGTTGAGAAACACTGCATTAGAGGAATAGCCCCTACCACACCAGCAATCCACTTTACTTTCATTTAAAACACAGCTCTGGATTGGTGTGTAAGCAGGTTTCCATTTTTCATATGGCTAAATTACCGAATGGCTGAAGTGATGTGAATGATTCTCTTCATGTGGGTATTTCCAAAGAGATCTTGTTTATGGCTTAAGTTTTCAATTTAGTACACAACAGGAAGGAAGGAGGAAAGGATTCTATTTCTGGGCAAATTGTGTGTCTGTGATTGTGATGGTTTGAAGTTTAAAACTCAAATTCTATATGCAAGAATGTATGCTAAATATTTTACTATTTCCAGAGAATGATGATTCATATCTCTTCTCTCCTTATATATTTATTACTTTTCACTGAGTTCATTCATAGAATTTGTCAGTATTCTCTTTATTTTCTACATTCTCTGTTACAGTTAAGATTGTGAATGAATTGTTCCAAAGCAGTGTGTAAGGATAGTTTTCTCCAGATTTCCTCATTATAAATTTAACAGTGAATGTTCTTCAAAATTTGGGCTGTTTAGTATACTGGATTTTATTCCAACAATGTGTTCCAGTACTGTTTCCAGAAAAAGAATTTGAGATAGGTGCTATGTTCATGCCTCTGTATGGTCCAAAGCATCTTTTTTTGGAATTAAATCCAAAGCATTGCACAGGGCTATTGGCAATCTGAGAACAGTGAAGAATGTGCCCAATTGTTGAATCAGATTTTAAATACTGGATTGATATTAAAAATCCAATCACATTATATATAAAATGTGATTGTCATTCTAAAGGCAACTTTTATCCCTTGCATACATATGTAAACCTCAAACAAATTAAGGACTAATAAGTATTTTCCACTGTGGACTGTGTTGATCTATACTACGGTAATTGCTGCTTCACATCGTGGAATAAAAAAAACCTACATGGCAAAATATTTGAAATAAATGGTGAATTTGATTTGATAGACTAAGATGCTTGCTGCTATATAGTATATTTACATTTAAATGATCATCTATTGTTTCAAATACTGAGTAATAACTTTGGGGGAAAATGTTTAAAATTACCTGTTTCAAAGAGGTCAAATCACGTATTTTTAAAGGCTTAACTGATTTCAAATTGAAATAACTTTATTGTGCTCATTAACCAGTGGAATTTTTAACTGATTTAGATTTGCACAATGAATCATTACTTTCAATAGGAATCATATAATATTTATTTGCTTATGAATTTAGAATGGACATTTATTTGTCAAAATGTATCCAGGTAAGGGAGTAACAATGCTAATTATTTCTCAGGACTTCATTTATTTTAGTTTCTGATTATTCAGTTACATAACCATGTTGTTCTTCTATTGCTGTTTGCACTGTATATCTGTTTGAAGGACAAATGCAAATTTGTAATATATTCAAATTGTGAGCTTTAATTAAGCTTTGGAGACCCACCTGTGCGCCGTTTACATTCATTTGAAAATTGTGACAGTGAAAGGGATCATAAAATGAAAATTGAACTTTAAAGAAGCTGTGACTCTTGTATCTCTTCAACGGTTGTGGTGATGTTGGTGGACTGGAAACAAAATAAGCACAAATTTTAAAAAGCTCGAATATGCACATTTCCTTAAAACAATGTCTCCAGATCAGGGAAAAAGTATGTCTATTGTTGCAAATCATCATCCTCTTTTAACAACCCCATAATCCCTTGCGGGGTGGAGTCTGGGCAACTGAATGGAGCTGAGTGTTTACTGGCCGGATGCCCTTCCTGTCGTCAATGCGGAGTTTGTTTCAGCAGATATATTCTCAACGTGCCCAGAGAGAGAAACATTTGCCTCTACCTAGGATTGAACTCACAGCTTCCTGATTGTGAGGCGAGAGCTCCACTTCTAGGCCACCGCACCACTTATGTCTATTCTCGCAAATATGATTGTGAATATTATTTATGTTCTTCATTTATTTTGTCAAATGTCTGTGGTGCCCTTCTTTTAGGACCCTAGATCATTTTCTTAGTAACTCTCCTACTGCAGCTTTCACAGATGAGAGAGATCAAAAGGAACTAGAGAGAGGAAGCATCATCATAATGCAAGCCCCTCTTTCTTTGTACCGGTACATACATCAGTCTCACATATATACACAAAAGAGTTGGCCTAAGATCAAGAAGCTGCAACTCCCAATCTTGCTGGATTTGATAGAACAAAGATTAAGATGTTGGCCTTGTCTAAGCAACAGAGAATCACCACAATTTTATGTCTTCCATTGTATTCAGAAATAGGTCATCTGTTCAGAACTTCAGCTTCAGATTAGTATATTATTAGTTGTTTCGGTAACAGACAATGTAGGTCTCTCACAGAGATTGCTAACACTGTTACCGTATTGCAATTCTCAATTCGCTGGTTTTTAAACATACATGAAACACTTGGCAGCCACCAGCTTATGGTGAAGAGATGCAGAAAACCGTAACATTTTGCTGCCTTCTAGCGATCATCTGGCTTTTTGCAGCCTAGTAACTCCGGTAAAACCAAATAGGTAGGTAGCACAAATACTATTTTTATGATTGGAACAAGATTATTTAGAAAGCTTCGTGACTGAATGGGGAAGGTACACCAGTGAATTCTTGACTCTTCTTATTGTGCACCATGAATTATTTGCCTTTGTAATGCTTCTAAAGAATTCTAGCTTTTTGTATACAGTGCCAGGCCCAAGGAACTGAGGAGGACATGAGGGGTGACTTCAGAGTGGTTTATTATTGTTCAGCCGTAGACAGAAATCTTGGCAGATGTACCTGCATAATTATTAGATATGCACATTGGATTGCTGGGGAGAGATGTTTGCCTTCATCTTTTTCCTACATAAAGGATTCCAAGCTATGTTGTCTCTTTACTCTCTGGAAAAGAGCCCCTCTCTCCTGTGACACTGCATTATATTCTATCACATCAAGTAGTCCTCAATTTACGATGAAGTTACTACAGAGCTCCTCATGGCTATTTACGATCTTAATTTAAAGTTTTAATGCCTCCCCAGTCACATGATTGTAGCTATGGTGGTGTAGTGGTTAGAAGGCAGTACTGCAGGCTAATTCTGCCAATTGCCAGCAATTTGATCCTGACTGGATTGAGGTGGATAAAATGAGGACCCAGATTGTTGTGGGCAATATGCTGACTCTGTCAATCATTTAGAGAGGGCTGTAAAGCTCTGTGAAGCAGTATATAAGTCTAAGTGCTATTGCTATTAGATACTCTGGCCTGCATTTAAAGCTATTTGAAGCATCCTGTGGTGATGTGATCACGATTTACAATGTTGTTTTTTTTTTAAATCAGAAACCAATGTTTGCTTCTGGTTTCTGGCAAAAAATATTCATTGCAGACAATGGATTCACTTAATGACTCTGATATTCACTTAGCAACCTTGGCGTTGGCTTAATGACCATGGTGATTCATTTCATGAGTGCCATGGAAAAGACCATAAAATTGAATGCAGATATGTGATGACCTGCTTAATGACCATCATGACTTAATTCAAGCTCAATTATGGTCATAAGTGGAGGACTACCTATCAGTCTTTCTACATCTAAATGGAATACAAAACTTAGATAGCTTCAGTCTAAATTACAGTAGTGGCCAAAATTGTGGAAACCTTTTGGGAAAAGTATATTGTCTAAAGCTAGCTAAAAACACCAGTTTTTGGGGTGAGTAGTACCATAAAATTATATATCAATGGAAAGATAATTTAATCAAGAATGTAATGCAATAACTTTTATGAAGGATTTGCTATTAGAATAGCAGTTATAGTATAAAGAAGAAAAGTGAAACACATAGAAGAAACGAGATATACAAAAATTATCATGTCAGTAATACTTAGTTGGGTAACCTTTAGCATGAATTACAGCCTTACAACATCTTCCCATGGAGTGAGTCAAGTCTTTTAATTCTGCAGCTGTTATAATGTGAAACCAAGATTGAATGATTGCTTCTATTAACTGGGTTTTATTGCTGCTTCTGACTAACAAGTTTCTTTAGTCGGTTCCATAGATTTTCAATTGGGTTAAGGTCTGGGCTATTCCCAGGCCATTCCAGCAGTGGAATATTATTATCTTGAAACTCAAAAAAAAAAAAAAAAGTGGTGTTATTAGCCATCAAACCTCAAAAATATACTTTTCCCAAAAGGTTTCCACAATTTTGGCCACTACTGTAGACTTTTGTGGGCCCATGTGTTGTGTGAATACCAGCCTGTTGTTTTAAGTTCAGCCACTACCCACGGAAATGACAAAACGGACAGATTTCCAGTTAATGGGAAGTTTGTAAAACAACGTATAGTGGGAAACTTGTTACATTAATAGTGAATTGAGTGGCTATGCTGGATAAGGAAGTTCTATTCTTCAGATACGAACTGCCTAGGGAATAAAGGCAGGAGGAACTCAGAGTAATTACGAGCATCTGGAATGCAAGTGGTTAAAAGAAATACTGATGTGGAAATTAAAAAGGAAGGCTTGAGCTTTGCAGGAACTGCTTATTGACCTTTAAAATGTATTAGAAGTTGTGTGCAGAACCTTCAAAGGTTGTAATCACACCTTTGTGATTACATATGTACATGCCCATACCATCCCTTGCAGTTGATTATGAATTCATTGGAATTACTGCAAACGCGTTTCAGTTTATTTGTCCCTGAAAATGAGATAT